CCCAGGGAGCAGGCACGAGAGCTCGCCTGGCTCTTCGGCTCCCTTGCAGGACCTGGCTGACACCTTTGCAGAAGGTCGGGTAGAGGCTTTGTCTCCAAAGGTGTTTTTCTGCCTTCAATCATGAGCTCTCCCCTCAGTCTTGCACAAATTACCCAGCTTGATTTTAATGTACTAATGAATATAACAGGATCTGTTTACCCCTTGGAAGAAAATCTGTCGGTTTTTGGAGCAATGACAGAGTCGGTACCTTGGGACACAGTCCCGTGAGAACCTTTGTAAACTGGCACAATTCAGCTGTGAACACATCTCCTTTCCCCTCCTGCCTTTTAATAAGGGGACAAGCTGCGTCATTACAAAGTGTGTGTTCTTTAATTGCTCCAGTAATACCTATAAATTGTTTCCAGCAGCTTGTACAGAGGACTCTGAGTGTTATTGGAGGAAACTCCGATTCCAATCTAGCATTCAGAGTTACCTTCCCCATGTTCAGGAAGATGATGCTTCACTGAAGTTTCTTGGTATCTGAGTCTCTTCTGCATGTTTTTAAGCTGCTCCAAAATGAATAGCATTATCAGATGCAGTTTTCTAAAACATTTGATAATTTTTTTGTGTTTTTAGTAACTCCGAGTGCATATACTGCCCTTAGTGAGGCTTGTGTGGGCATTCAGTTGAAACCAATTGCTCTTGTGGCTTTTTAGCTGCTCTAGATTTTTCTTGGTGAAACAAAGGTTGACCCAGCGTTCATCGTGGATAACGTCGTTGTGTTTGAGAGGGAGCCAGGTTGTTAAAGCACGAGTCGTACAAGCGAACTGTAGGTAACAGATCTGTCGCCTTCCATTTTAAGAGTGACCTTTAACTCACCAGACTTTGCAAAATAACTCCAGCGGAGCGCTGCCATGCCTGCTGGAGCCTTACCTCCTGGGGAGCGGCGTGACGGCCGCCCCGGCCAGCGGCCTGGCGCTGCCCTGCAGATCTGCTGGGCTGGCGAAAATGCTGGGCTCCGCGCCGGGGGCAGCACGTCTGTGCATCCGAGCAGAGGGCCGAGCTGCTCCCTGCGTCACCCCTTCCCCAGGGGAGAACCGGATCGATTGACGATGCTGGGCTTCGGTGGGCGATAGCACAGAATGGCCAGGAGCTGTCCCCGTGGAGAGCAGAAGGTGATAAAGAAGACAAAAACCCCCAGCTGTTTCAGTGAAGGGCGGCAGCGTGGAATTGTGTATTCTCCGTGACATTGATCCTCCCCAACAAGTGCAAGAAAACGTCTTCAGTTACAGAAACCACATTCAAGGAGCTATTTTTGGGTGCTCAACAGCTTCACTGAACTTCTAATAGGTGGGCCATTGCTGGTGTCAAGATTGCTTTTTGTATTTTGGCATAATTTACTTTTTAAATGCATTTGTATGAAAAAAGAACATGGAAGACGCTCCTCTGCCTATCTTGACCATCCCAACAGCTCCTTACGATGATCAGAAACCAGGAACCAGTGGATTACGGAAGAAGACTTTTTATTTTGAATCCAAGATTAACTATTTGCAGAATTTTATCCAGAGTATATTTTTTTCCATAGACCTAAGAGATCGCCAAGGATCTTCTATGGTAGTTGGAGGTGATGGGAGGTACCTTAATAAGTCTGCAGTGGAACTGATAGTCCAAATGGCTGCTGCCAACGGGGTTGGTAAATGTTAAATGAGTAAATTCCTGTAGTTGTGTAGCTGATAAATGCAGAAAACCATCATAAATTAATCTGGATGAGATTTAATTTCCCCAAAGACTTCATTCAACTGCTAATAGTTAACTGTTTAGTGGAAAATCAGTTTGGTATTACAGAAATTAGTGGTTTTTATTTTTTACTTTTAAGTGATGCAGTTGGATAGAAGGATATGGGAATCCACATCCAGTAAAGAAAATAAACACTGCTTGGTTGTGGTTTTGTTTTGTGTTTTGACATGCCAGAAACTATTAGCACCTGTGGATTTCGTAGTCTGTCCATCAGATCATAAAACCCTGATATTGTTCAGAAGAGCCGTGGCTCGCTGTTCAGTGGCAGCTCGGCAGAAGCTCTTTCAGCATTGGTCTGAGCTGCTCAGTAACTGAAAAGGCAGAACACAGGGTTGGTTTTTTCTCAAGAGGAGTAAGTTGTGGCTGTATAAGTACTCTGGGAGGCTTTGAAAATTGAAATGAGAGTTAGAAAGTGAGTGGCAACTGTGACAGTGATCTCCAATTGTGCTGGAAATCTGTATTTTGGAAGGAGAACAGAAGGCTTGTCTGCTTGTGGTAGATGTCTGGTTTTTTTTTTTAAATTATATGTTTTCTGTTTGACAACACAAATTAATATGTTCCTCTTAAGTCAGTGTATGGGCTGAGCAGAAGAGCTGGAAAATGTGCACAGAGAGCCAGGCCTGCTGCTTGGGATGCTTGACACTAGGATAGGTTTTCTGCTGGTAAAGATGAAATTAGACTTCACCAGCTGAGGCTTTTCTCATGCATTTCTTTCCAGCAATGTGGCCCGTGTCTGGCTAAAATCTAGTTTCACTGCTAGTTTCGATATTTTTCGTTGATTGTTTTTATACAGTCTGGCTAACAGCTGTGACTGTCAACGTTGTGCTCATCTTGCCCTATAGAAGGGATGAGTGTGAGGATGTTTTCAAATATATAAAAAAAAGCATATTGTGTTTTGAGTAGGCAAAAATCTCTTTGGTGATGTGTCAGAGACAGGTACAGTTAAGGTACCGATACCCCACCAAAACTGGGGCCAGCGGGATATCTGAATTGCGCCAAACACACTTGCTGTGTCAGTAGCATCACATTGCATGTTTTAAATGATGAAAGGATGTGGTTAAAGGAGATCACCAAGGGATTTGGACAAAATCTTGACTTGTATAAATAGAAGCATCTCTGTTCAGAGACCGTAAGTGCGGCACAGTGTATGGGAGCGGCGAGGTTGTTCTTGTGAGGCATCCCTCGTACAGCAAGAGGACTGGAAGGGTATGCTGGTGACATGATGGAGCTGTAAACACCAGCTCCTTGGCCTGGAAAACATGTTTTTGGTGTGAAAGCATCAGCTTGCGTTACTGAGGGAAGAAGGGGCCCCGTGGGAGGTCTCCTTTATTGCCCATGTGCATCTTAGTGGGGCTTTCAGGAAAAGCATGGGAGTGGAAGTATTGCCTGGGTTGCTTCAAAGTGCTTCAAATCACTGCACAAAGTGGGTCTGATTGTGAATGGCTCTATTTAGAGCATTCTGTGAAAGGCATTTCTGCATCCTTAGATTTTTTCCTATAAGAAATTCCAGGAAAATTAAAGAAGAATAAGTGTAAATTGCTCAGCATGCCGCTACACTGAGCAGCTTTTTCCAGTGGTTACCATCAAGGATTAAGCATTGGATGGGGCAGAATGATGGCTGAAAAACCCTGAAAGCTGAGGAGGACCCCGTAGCGGAGGGGAGCGTGTATGGAGACAAGCGTTTGTGTCTTTTCCTTCCTTGCTGCAGGAGCAGTTATACACGTGCAAAAGCTGCAGCTCAGGGAGGATGAGCTGGGTAAGGATAAGGGATTTGATGTGTTCACCCAGCTCTCCTGCAGCTGCTGCTCGGTTTGGGAGAGAAACTCCCTTGTTTTGCCAGTCCCCTGCAGCATCCCTTGAGCTGCATGTGAGCCCTGGCAGATCACCCATGTGGAGGGGTGTTGTGGCTGGATGTGACCCGCGAAGGGATGATGGGAAACAAAAGATGAAGTTTGAGAGAGGAGCTTCCTGGAGCCTTCATTAATTCTTGGTGAAACTGACGGAGCAAGGCTTGGAGGCTGGAATAAAACATGAGACAAGGTGTGCTGGCTTGGACTGAGAATGGGAAAGAAAGCAAAATCCGTGTAGACTGGGGTACTTCAGATTAAATCATAGAATCATTAAGGTTGGAAAAGACCTCAAGGATCATCACGTTGTGTTAAAAAAAATAAATAAAACATTGCACGATCAGCCTGTTAGCCAGGCGCTGAGGGCTGTAATATTAGCTACTATGACCAGTGGAGAGAAGGGTGTTCACTTTGGGTTTATAAACTGCTGTTTTGCATTTATGCTTGTTGTTTGCTAGAGGTGCAGTTCTTTTAGCTCACCCCGTCACTCTGTGACAGCTGTAGCATGTAATAACCGATCAGCAGCGAAGCCAGGGCTTAGCACCGGGCAGTGCCGCGGGAGAGGAATCGCAGTCATTCAGTGCCCTTGGCTTAGCACCGAATTTGGACCCTCACTCTGGGAACGCTGCCTTTTGTTTGCTGGTTTATCTTGTGTTTGAATGAAATTCCTCCTCTTTACTCAGTCGTATACAGGGTCTAATCTCCTCGGCTGCTGGAGAGTAGTCTGGTATTTTTTTAAATCTCTGTCACCTCATTTGTGGGCTATGGTAAGGAGTGTGTTCTTCCAGAAGAATATTCATCTTCTGTTTTATTACATGAACTCCAGCAACCGGATCCTGATTACCTTGTATCGCTTAGCACATTGGTCTGGATTTAATCTCGATGATACTACTAAATTTTTGGGAAGGAGGTATGTTACCTGCTGTAAGAGAATCTGCAGCCAATCTCGTGGGAGTAGTGATGATATTTGATTTTTCTTTTATTTTGGCTTCTCTCAATCCCATTGTTGTCTTTTGAAAGCAAAGTTTGAGACCGTAGCCAAAGGGGGGTTCTTTTGGGTTGTTATTTAGATGCCTCTGGAAAGCTCAGCTTTTCAGTGCAAGCTGCCATTTCCAGTTGAGCTGCAGCATTCATAAAGGAAAATGTGAAAAAGGCACAACAGAGCGGGGTCAGATGCTGACATTCACTATACCCAGCGGAGAGCTTCGGCATCCTCCTGGGATCAAGCTGGTTGCTTGCAGGGAAGCAGCACCTCTGCCATCAGCACAGCTCCTGGGGGCTCTGGTTCACCTGTCACCAGTGTCTGGGGCATTGGCAGTTTTGCTTGTTTTAGGATTTGGGACTTAAAATAGTTTGTTTTGCTTTTTTAATTTTCAGATTGGACGCCTGGTCATCGGGCAGAACGGCATTCTCTCCACCCCAGCAGTGTCCTGCATCATTAGGAAAATCAAAGCCATCGGTGGCATCATTCTGACAGCCAGCCACAACCCCGGTGGGCCCAATGGAGATTTTGGCATCAAATTCAACATCGCCAATGGAGGTAAGGTCACTTGGTTCATTTTGATTTGCTTTGTTTCTGTTTGGCCATTTTGTGTGTTGACCTCAAGGAACATAATTTAACTGTCTTAATATCGTAGAGATTCAGTGCCCTGAGAAGTGAGTTTCCGTAAACAGGGCAAATGATTGCTCTGCTCCCCTCATACTTCTCTCCTAGGGAGGTATTCCCAGCCCCACATCTTTTGCTGTACTTCTCAAGTACACTCCTCTTGCAGTCTGATTCTTTAACATCTTCCCCCTTGCCCATTTTATCTTGCAGGTCCTGCTCCTGAGGGTATCACGGATAAAATTTTCCAACTCAGCAAGAAAATTGAAGAGTACGCCATCTGCCCAGATCTCCACGTGGACCTGAGCACCATCGGGAAACAGCAGTTTGATTTGGAGAACAAATTCAAACCATTTACAGGTAAATGACTGTTCTTCCTCTTGGAAAGTTTCCTTTCAGGTGGGGTTAGTGTGGACCTGCCATGATCAGGCAAGGACATCTGGTGTTTCTAAAGGACGGACGTGGCCATTCTGACCTCTCCTTCCCATCTGTTGGACAAGCCAAGCAAGGACATCGCTCCTGGTCACCCTGGCATCCTGGCATTTCTTTTTGCCTGCATCTTATCTTGTGTAGATACTGCAATCGCATTATTTTTGTCCTACAAAAGGTTGTACTTCAGTAGGTAAATCTAATCCATCAGATTTCACAAAAATCAGAAACTATTTTGTCTGTCAGGCTACCATTAATGTGTACTTGTGAAACAGACAACTCTGCAGTTAAAGTGCATTTTCCTGATTAAAAATTATAGTGTTAGCGTTTAACTCTGCAACGAATTTCTTTTCCATGGTGTCACATGTAAGAGCTGTCCCTGTGAGTGGGAAAGCCATTACATTTCACAGTGACTTTTGTCAATTAGCAGTGAAATATGGAAATACTTTAAAAAAAAAAATACTTGGAAAACACTTACTGCACATATTTTTTACGATCTCCTGGTGACCTGTGCCTGTAATTTAAAAAAAAAAAATATTACTGTCTTCATGAAATGATTCTATGGGATGTTTAAAGGCTTTATGCTGAGCCCTGACCCTCTGCACTAAGGACTGTCAGCACAGCGCCACGTGTAGCAAAATTACTTTTCTACAAAGATTTCAGACTCTGAGAGTTGGTCTCTGTTTACTTTTTTCCCCAGTGGAAATTGTGGACTCAGTAGAAGCTTATGCAAATATGCTGAGGAACATCTTTGACTTCAGTGCGTTGAAGGAACTGCTTTCAGGGAAAAACCACCTCAAGATTCGCATAGATGCTATGCACGGAGGTACGGGTGGACTTGGGTTTGGGGCATTGTTGGGGACCAGGTGTTCCCGGGGCTTTGCCACCTACTTCAGAGAGAGAGCTTTCTTCTGGAATCCACGCTTGAGAGCCAGAGGAGGCTGGCGCTGGTGCTGTGATCTGAGCTGCCCCGGCAGGCTTTGCATCAGTCGATGTCCCATGGAGGTCACAGCAGTTAGGCAGAGGACTGCCCATAAATATTTGATTACAAAAATGGGACCATTGAACTGGTTTATATAATTTAATATACATGCCAAGCTTGTGAGTCTCTTTCAAGAGACATTTTCAGGAGCACCCCAGCTTTCTCAGCCTCTTGTTTCTTTTGGCTCCAGGCTGTTCCACTCCTAAGCTCACTTTTTTTGTATTGTCTACATGATTAGCACTTGAGAGCAATAAATCCCATTGTGCTGCTGGATGTCTGTGAATCACACAGGCATTTTGTTTTGTTACTCCGTGCACTTGGGGTGTAAACACTTTATGGTGGGGTCCTGACTCACACGCTGAGCCCCTGGCGTGGCTCATCCTCCCTTCTAAACCCAGGAGTGGTCTCACTTATGTAGTGGGACAGCCCCTCAGCTGAAAATCTTACTTTGGCAAGCGCTCGTGTGCCTGGATGGATCAGGATTAACCACACTTAGGTGCTGCTTGGGGCTTTTGATGTGAGCGCTTGTGCTTTTTTACCATAAACCATATAAACTGACCCAAAGTGAGGAGCCGGGGGGCCTGGGGGGGTTATGTGGCTGCTGCAGAGCTGCCTGAGGGCAGAGGCTGACTCGTTTCCTCCTCCTGTTTTGCCCTGATAGTTGTGGGCCCTTATGTAAAAAAGATCCTGTGTGAGGAGCTCGGAGCCCCAGCAAATTCAGCTGTGAACTGCACCCCGCTGGAGGACTTCGGTGGCCACCATCCCGACCCCAACTTAACCTACGCTGCTGACCTGGTCCAGACCATGAAGACGGGAGAGTATGACTTTGGAGCTGCCTTTGATGGAGATGGGGTAAATGGCCAGTTCTGTATTCACCTTTTTCCCCTCCTTTCAGCTGTGGGGGACGAAAGCAAAGACCTTTTTTTTTTTTTTTCCTCCCTCTCTCCCTTCTGTAATTGCAAATGGAAGCAAACCACTTGCTGCAGTTTGCCACCACGGCAATAGTTGGCTACTGTGTTCATAATGAAGCCCAAACTGTATTTAAATACCTTTAAAGACTGTGAAAAATCAGCAGAAAGGTGAAATGCTATGCAGGTGTTGCTATTTAACTTTTTTCAAAGCTCTGTATTTATTTCGGGGCAGTCAAAAAATCTCTGTGAGTCGTTGGGCTTACAGGCTGCGTCTGCCAAGTCGAACAACTTCTGCCACTGCAGCCTTTTTGCACTGAGTGGGGATGAGAGCTGTTTCTCTCTTGTCTTCACCAGGATCGCAACATGATTCTTGGGAAACACGGTTTCTTTGTGAACCCCTCCGACTCTGTCGCTGTCATCGCTGCCAACATTTTCAGTATTCCCTATTTCCAGCAGACTGGAGTCCGCGGCTTTGCCCGGAGCATGCCCACCAGCGGGGCTCTGGACAGGTAATGTCTACCTCTGCGCACGGCGATGGAGGGGAACGCTGCCAAGGAGAGGGACTGTCTCTTTTTTGTGGTTTAACATGTATCTCTTAATGCTTTGCCTGAAGGGTGAAGCACTGCCAGGGCTGCTGCGGGCTGGCTGCCAGGGGAGGCAGTGAAGTTTAATGAATTAAATCCTGTTCAGAGCCATGGCCAGGCTGGGCTCTGCTCTTGGCTCTTCTCAACGTATGAGACCAAACAAATGATCCTCCCCGCCGTTTTTTTTTTTTTTTTTTTAAGTTGATAGTGATACTTTGGTAAATGCTTTGAGATCTACAACTTAGAATTGCTTTAGAAGAGCTAGATATTTATATCTGTTCTTTAGTTGCTCATCCCACCCATTTACCAAATGTTACACTGGGATAAAATAAAGGATTGCCATACAAAGAATTGTTTGTCGTAAAAAACCAAAACAGTCGCATGACCTACCTTCAGTGTTACCCCAAAAGAGATGCTTTCAGGTGGCAACTGAAGCTCCTGCTGCAGTATTTCACGTGGGAGCGCTAGGAGTCCAGCTGCGATGTGACTTTCCCTTCTTACATTTCAAGGGTGGCCCACGCTACAAAGATTGCTTTGTATGAAACTCCAACTGGCTGGAAGTTCTTTGGAAACTTGATGGATGCGAACAAACTGTCTCTGTGTGGAGAGGAAAGTTTTGGTACTGGTAAGTCAGCGTTCCTGATTTCACCAATTAATTCCTCCTCTTAGTTCTTCATTGTGCTGGGTAGCTTGGGATTTATCTTTCAAGTGTGGTTGTTAATGCTTCTAAAACAATAAAATGAAAAAAGAAAACCTTGCAAGAATCACTGGTGGAAACGAACACAATGGTGAAAAGTTTTGTCAGGCAAGAGCTATCTCTCCTTTCAGTTACTTGGGAAGGCAAATGTAGATATGCAGGAAGTTTAAGGGCCTCTTTACTAGCCCGGTCATTGAGTCTATGGGGATTAAGTGCAGTGTTAAATGTATTTTTCAACTCCTGGTGGCCAGGAAAACCTTCTAAATGTTTTCATTTCTGGAAAGAAATATGGTTTGGAGCATGCAGTTTTATTAGGGAAGGTTTCAGGTCACTATTAAATCTCTGAGCTTAATAGGGCCCTCATTTTCCTGTTCTAAAAACAAGGTATGATTTATAAAGTTTAAATTAACACTTGCCTTTGAACAGGCTAAGCAAGTTATTAGGTTACTGAGAAACAAAGTGAACATCTTAAAGAATTTACTAGGGGTGTGCACGTGACACAAAACTATTATTTGTGCAGGGAAGTTAAAGTGAGCACATTTTGCTCTACATTGGAGCAGTGTGCTCAAAACACAGTGTTCCCAGGAGGCCTGGGCCATTTCTGAGCTCTCCCGTGGCATCTACCACGTGGGTTTAATGTCCTGACCATGGAAATGGGACCTTCCCTCCTGAATTTTCCCCAGGATCTTGTTTTTCATATTCTCTAGAGACCTCTGAAGCCAGGGGGTAGCTGGTAGGATGTGCAATGCGAGGGAATTTAGGTTGGATGATTTCAGGCTGAAATCTGGTGTGTTTTCATTCCACCACCCCAGATTTGAGAAAAACATTTTAGCCTGTGCGTCGGTGTCTCTCAGAGCAGGGATGGCGTTAAATCCCCAAATGCCTGAAATTAAGAGTTTCGTCGAACAGGGGGCCACAATTTGATGTGAAAGGATTACCCCAGCTTTTCTGTAGCTGAGGAAATGGCATCAGAGACTCTGGTTGAATGCAGTTTGCTGTGGAGCTTAAACAATCTTCAGTGGCAATATTTTAGCAATCAAATGTTATTCTGCTATACAGGATTTGGTCTCAGGTTGGAAGGAAAGGGGAGTTTTGGAGAATGTGGTATGTCTATAAAGAAATCTTGAAGTAAACCATGAGTAAGGAAAGATTTTGGAGTTTTGCCCTGAATGATTTCAGCATGCGTGAAGTTTATATTCTGGACTTTGGCTGATGAGAGGGCACCAGCATTTCAGTAAATAAATAAAAACAAAAAGCAGCAAATGATTCATGGAGCTGCTGATAGGAGATGGTCTCTAATGAGCAGCTCTCTAAAATGGTTTCCATCTTTTATTGTACGAGCAATGAGCTCATAGCTCCTCTCCATCCCCCAATAGGTAAGCGACTCTACAGCACAAATAAAAGTGACTGATTCCGTTTGCAGCGGGGGCTGAGAGAGGGTTGAGATTTTGGCCATGCAGCATCAGATCCCAGTGGCCAAGGACTGAAGCAGTTTTTTGGGGGGGGACACACAGATGAAGAAAGGGTCCAGGAGTGTGGGACTCCCTCCACGATGCAAAGGGGATTTGTCCATCTGGCAAAAGCACTTTAAGGAATGCAAGGGGGGTGAGGAAGGTTGGTTGATAGCAAGTTAATGAGGAGTTGTTTGGAGCTGGACAGAATGTGAGTGCTGAAGGGGAGAGAAGTGAAGGAGCAGCCAACTAGACCCACTAAAAATTGAAACAAACTGTGACCCGGTGGGACTGGAGTCCGGGAGCAATTAGAGTAATGCGACATGACAGCAAAAAATTTCATGGGTATTTTATTCCAGCAATAAGTTGATACATCACATGGGACTTCTGTTTATTTAGCATTCCTCTCCATCACCTCTGCACAGCTCTCTCCGCTGTAAAGGACCGCGGGGATAATTTATCGCTGTGTCTACAATAGTGGGATTTGTGTAAAGCGACACATAACCCGTCCCCCAGCCTTTTTCCCCAGACGTTTGTCCACTCTGGCAATTCTTGAGAGGGTAAAATGGCAGCTCTGGAGTGCTCTCTGCATTAGCAGGCGTACCCTGGCTCCTTGGGATTTCATTAATACCTGCTTGGAGACTTTCCAGAGCTCACAGGATAAAACTCAGGAGTTCTACATCTGTGGGGCACAGCACTGAACTTACAAGCTAGAAGCGTGGAGTCTGGGTTGGATGTATTCTGGGGCTGCCATTCGATCCCTCGTTTAATTTAGGTGCTCAGGGTGCTGTCTATGTTCCAACACCCTCTCGGGTTTCCTGAGGGTGCTGTGCAGTCCCTGCCCTGGCCGGTGTGCTCCCAGGGCACGGCTGGGCTGCCCTCTGACTGCTTCCTGCTCTCTGTGCAACGCTGGGTTTGCAGAAATCCTCTTTTAGCCAAAATTGGGTCTTTCACACCCTTCAGTGCCTGGCCTGCGGGAGCGAGAGCAGGCACGCGGCTCTCTTCTGGTTTCCACACATGAATGGAGTCTCTCCTTGTTCGCCATCCAACAAGCTGCTCTTCTCTCCATTGCAGCGTAATTTCGGAGTCGTTAGGGTTTGGCTTCCTCAGTGAGGGCTGACATTTTTCTTGGTGCTCAGCCAGCATATGTGCTGATCGGAGTACGCCGCTTTGGCAGGCGGGACGTGACAACTCTTGAAGAGGTTGATGTTAGTCCTTCCTGAGCTGTTCCTTGCATCTGCCTTTCTTTTTTTTCTTTTTTTTTTTTTTGACAACCTTTTTACTGTACATTCCCCATAACTTCCTCGGGAACAGAATGAAGGATCTGTGAACAATGAGCGTGTGTGTCTGCATTAAAAGGGGCCGAATGTTTTATTTGGGCTCTAGCTAAAAGCAGATGATATCTTGAACCATTTTAACAATACAGCAGGGATTGAGCTCACGAAAATGCCTTCCAGTTGTGAGTCTGTATGGCTGCCAGTTGGACGGAGAAGACAAGGTAGGGCTGTAGCACAGGCTCTCGCGTGGAAGGAGGTGGGAAATGTGTTTGTGCTGTGGCTCTCCGCAGGCTCCGACCACATCCGCGAGAAGGACGGGCTGTGGGCTGTCCTGGCATGGCTGTCCATCCTCGCCACCCGCAAGCAGAGCGTGGAGGATATCATGAAGGATCACTGGCAGAAATACGGCAGGAACTTCTTCACCAGGTGGGGAAAGCACTCCTGACACCTCGCGCTTACCTCTGCCCTGTGTTTTCAACCCTCCAAGGTCAGAGCCCCAAGCACCGGTGGCACCAGTGTCATCGTTCCACTTGCTGTTTCTGGGGCATTGCAGTAATTTAAAACTCCCCGAGCAGTTTGCTGCAGTATGCAACGTATCTGAGCTAAATAAAACAGTGAGCATTCACCTTAACCTTTCGTGATGTCCAGTTTAGGATTTGTTATTCTGAACATAAATCTAGTAAGTATCAAAGGCTGCAAAGGCTGTACATGTTATATATGCAATGTATCTTTTTTTTTTTCTTTTAATGGAGATTTTTTTTTCTTGCAAGAGTCTTTTTTGCCATTGGAACTGTATATTTCTTGAGACCACAATTGAATTTGTAGTATCTTCAGTGATGACATTGAACGGCTGCCCAGCTCCTAGGCCATTATTTACCTGGTTTAGTTTCTGCCCAGTCCCAAAATACTCTAATTTCAACTCCAGTAGACAGGGAAGATGGAAAGGGAAGGAGCGCGAACCAACCTGCACACAAGCAGAGGTGGGAACGCAGTCTGGAGTGAAAGCATTAGGCAGAAATCTTTCAGCTTGGAAGACCTACATGAAAATTCTGTCTCAAATTGGCAAATGAAAAAAATTGCCTTCCCCACCCCACCACAAAGCCAGCGTACATCCGAGGTGTTAAAACCTGTGGAAAAAATGCTAGAGTCTAGAATAAAAATGTAGTTTTTCAGCACCAGAGGTATGTCTGCAGAGCAAGCTGAGTGCAACAGCAGGCAGGTTAGCAAGCCTGTGCCTGCTGCATCCAGACAGCCGGGCAAATAAAAGCGGTGCAAATCACCCCAGCAATCAGAGTGCAAAGTCTGGGATCGTGATGTGTGCTCCGGCCACCCTTGACTGCCTCTCTTACCTGGGTTAGTGAGATCAAAGCTGGCACTGGTATTCTATCGTGTGCAGCAATCACGCCTGCGTTTGGCTGTGGGGATGCATACGAGGATGTTCAGGAGAAATTGTTATTGTGAAGAACTTGTTGAGATCCTATCGACAGAATTAGAATAAATTCTTTGCAGTCAGCAGTGCTGGAGTCTAGCCCTCCGTCTCCGATACGTCGAGCGCAAGGCAGCACAATTTGTGCTTTCATCTCTCCTGATGCCGAACGCCTGTGCTATGCTGCAGTGTATCCCACGGACTCATATTGGATCGGAGCTACGTTGCTGCCCACAGATCCTCCTCTCTTTTCCTTCCTCCTTTCCAGTGAGGGAGTAGAGAACACATACGGGGCATCACAAAACACTGCCATTCATTACAGCCTCCCCTTCCTCACCGTTGTTTTGTGGTGACTGTTGTAGGTACGACTATGAAGAGGTGGATGCAGATGCAGCGAACAAAATGATGAAGGATTTGGAGACTGTGATGTTCGACCGCTCCTTTGTGGGGAAGCAGTTATCATGCGGTGACAAAGTCTACACGGTGGAGAAAGCTGATAATTTTGAGTACAATGATCCCGTGGATGGAAGCGTCTCCAGAAACCAGGTGGGTAAAGCCTTGTGTGGGCTGAACGTCACCTCAGGGGGGTGCTGCCCCGTGGGTTTGGAGCTTAGTCTTTGTGCGTTGCATTTGCACCTGCTTTAAAGTCAAACACTGTATTTGTCTCTTGGAAAATTTTTTCTGTCCTGTGTTTGCTTGTGGGATCTTGCTGTGCTTGAGGGAAATTCCTGCCTCAGAGAAGGGTCTGGAGGATGTTCCAGCCCCAGCAGAGCCTGGAGGGGGGAGTGAAGTTTCCCTACGAAGGAGGGACAGAGCTGAGTTGAGGGGGATCCTTTGGGCAATGGGTCAGTGGCCGAGAAGTGAGTTGTGCAGAATAAAGAGCTGAAAGCCCACTGCAGCACAGGCACAAACCTTCCTGGTCAGGTATCGCCTTGTCTCTAGTGCTAGCAAGTGAATCGTCCCAAGAGGGATTTGGCCCTGAGCTGATGGCACTTTTCGTGTGCTTGTCCCTAAGAGGGCAGGCAGCAGTTCTCCAGGGTGGATTAGGAGGGACACCAGCTCCTCCGGGAGTGGGGAGAGGATAACAGAGGAGCCTTCTGTGGCTCCCGAAAGAGGAGCAGCTCTGGGATGGTGCAGGTCTGCTGTAGCCACGCTGGCTCTCATGGAAAATATCCTGGTACCTGAGAGGTGCATGGCTGAGAGGCTCTTCTCTCCTTCTCTCTCACCAGGGCTTGCGGCTCATCTTCTCTGATGGCTCCCGCATCATCTTCAGGCTGAGCGGCACCGGCAGTGCTGGAGCAACTGTGCGGCTCTACATCGACAGCTACGAGAAGGATCCTCAGAAGATAAGTGAAGACCCACAGGTAAGCACTGCATCTGAGTCAGGGCACCACTGGTTCCTGGCCTTCCTAAAAAGCTTAAATCTTTCCTTAGCACTTTAGTATCTTTAATCCCAGTGTAAATAGATTTATTTTTTAAAAGTGCTGTGTGGAACAAGTGTTGCTTATTCAGAACCCCTCACAGCTGCTCCTGAAATTGCACATGAAGCTTTTCCGTTTGTTTATGTTCCATCTGTGGCTGGTTGCAGGTGTGGGAGGACTCTTTCAGTCCTGAACTGACCTTCTCCTTTAAATGTTGCATCACTAGGGATATAATGAGCTCATTCCTGTACCAAATTTGGGAAATACTTGTTCAAAACAAATAAACGGAGGTTATGCAGCCATGTGTAAGAAGACACTGAGCTGTTCTGTGCTGAGTTTAATATGTGTTCTTTACAGCATCATTTAAAAATGCTGTTGAGCTCTCCTGTAGGCACTGGAAGGAAAAGAATCTTCATTTTATATTCTCCCGGCACAGAGTCTTTGAACTCTTTGTGCCTAACTCACTGTGTGATTATTGACAAAGAACAATAAAAACCCACATTCTGAGCAGCACAAGCTAAACTTACGATTTACCTGTTCTGTGCCATCGGTGCAAAGGAGTTTGGAGTACGGCACGATGAGGGCGGCAGCAACACCGCAGACGTGCTCAGGTTTTCTCTCTGAGCCTGCACACGGTCGTAACCCTGTGTCCCTCCCTGCGCCGTTCCTCTCGCTGGTCCCACAGCTCATGTTGGGAACCTGAAACGATCCCTTGAGCAGTGGTGCCGAGCTCTGGGTGTCCCGGGCTGACACCAGACGCCTGCCAGGGAAGGGCAGATGCGACGTGTGTAGGCTGTGTGTGCCACTCTCCTCTGCGGTTCTGAGCGTGCTCTCTCCTTTCTGCAGGTGATGTTGGCACCGCTCATTTCCATTGCACTGAAACTGTCACAGCTTCATGAAAGAACTGGCCGCACTGGTCCCACTGTCATAACATAAAGGCTTGGTCGGACGCCGTGCTGGAGTGCACACCGAGAGAAGGAAGTCATCCTGTCGCCCCTTTTATTGTCAGATCTGTCACTGAAAGAGTAATATTAATTTTATCTCTGTATTTAAGAACACTATTGAACTGCTAAGGATAGACAACGAAACCCAGCCCCTGCCACCACGTTGCGTGCACGTTGCTGTGCTGCTTTTCTGCGTCACCCAGCGCTGCTGGCATTGTGTGTGGTGCTCGTTAGCACACTGCCTTTTGGTTTAGCATATGTGATTTTTTTTTTCTTTAAACAAAAGGCTCTAGAAATAAGAGACACTAAATTTTTCAAAAATATAGAAAATAATCCCTATTTTGGACACTTTCCTGGAAAAGAAGCCCAAATGTTTTATCCCTGATAATACATAGACTCTTAAATGTGATGTTTCTGAATTAGCAATGACTGTGTATTAAAGCTGTGTATTTTTTGCTTACGTGGATTTTTCCCTTTCAGAAACAAATCATGTAAATTGACCCCCATTTGCTGTCTGTCTAAGAAAAAAACCCACAACAAACCCTTGACGCAGAAATGGGCAGTAACAAGCATTGCAGGAAATTAAACTGATGTGAGCTACAATGACTGGTCAGTGCTCTTTTATTTTCTTACATCACGTCAGGTTCCCTTTTGAAGAATGAAACATGGTTTTGATGAGCTCGTTTGGTTGCAGGTGGATAGTAAGTTCCTTGGAATAATCGGATTTGCAGGTATTAGTGTGGAAAATCTTATCCAAGGGCACTGAGAGTGTCACTTTGGACACAGTTGTAGCTGTTTGACATTAACACCCTGCAGCTGCAGCCTTCCTGCCCTTTTCCTGGAAGCCATCCCTTCGGAGCTGAGCCATGGTCCTGCTTCCAGCCCAGGCAGCTTGGAGAGGACTAGAGGTGCTCATGCCACTGACTTGTTGTCCCTCATCCACAGCGGTGACACCCTCCAGCAAGGGGGGGACTCTGGAGAATAACCCCAGGTACATCGACCCTAGCCCGTGCTGGGGGTTCTTCACAAAAACCAGATGCCGAAGGCTGGTCTCCCAAGTCCGTGAGTTGAGAAAGTGCTGAGTGGGCAATTGCTGTCACCAAAATCGCTGTGTGTTGGTGCAGGGCTCTGCCCGCACGGCTGGGCTCCCGAAGGACTCGCTCCTGCACCTCTTCCTCCTGCAGCTGCTGCGGAGCCGCTGATTCCTCCCACTCGCAGTCTGCCGAGCGAAAGGAAAACGTCTCAGGAAGCCGTACCAGTGCAGAGAGCACCTGGGGAGCTCAAAAGCCTTACTTATTAGAGGCAGTCAACATGGCTTCACC